TTGCAACCTTTTGAACAAAGAAATTGCGCTTGAGATGCTACAAAATCAAACATTAAAATAATAACTCGTGCCATGTTCTTAAATAGCCTCGTCAGCAGAGGTCATGGCTACCAAAACATTCAGAAGTGTTTAATATTTTAGATGTAGACGATAGCCTTCTTAGATCAGTAATTAACAATGACTTCAAGCGAATGAAACTTTTAGGTCTTAGTGTAAATAAATCTACTTTGAATACTACCTCATCTCAGAAATATAGACAGATACTAAAAGGCCGAAACGCTGCAATAAATATGGTGACAAAGATGAGGACAATAGTCCGAATAATGTAAATAGTGTACATAATACCTCATCTCAGAAATATAGACAGATACTGAAGGATGAACAGTGTTCTTTGAACAGCGAAATGTCAGTGTATTTGGAAAGAATCATTGCAGTTATTAAGAACCATTGAAATTAAATGCATGCAAGATTTCATAGCTTTAGCATCACTCCTTCATAGTCAACCTATGAACTTTTAAACCTATCCTCGTAAGGAATTGGTATATATTATTGTTAAAAGTTAATACAATAGAGTTTATCGATAGAGACATGAAACCGGTAATACACAAACATTTAATTTTCTCTGTTTGTTAATTAGTTTTAGTCTACAAAGATCTGAAAAGCACAGAAGCACTTATGAATTTTCAAAGACCTGATTATAGACTGGGTCAATGAGAATTAATGACTGCAGGACCTCTTGTTACTGAGGCTATTCGCCAACCGCTGAGCTATAGCAGCAAAATGGTCTGTTGGTCAAAGATCGTTTTCTTTTGCGAATGGAGGGTATTCAGAAAGAACTGACTTCAATTTGGGGTCTGATCTTTGCTTCTGCCTAAGGTGGACTGGCCTCAGTGAACTGAGAAATGAGAGGCCGACTTGCACGTCGTAAACAATTACTTTCGAGACGTAACGCCCGCGCAAACACTAATTCATTCGATCGGTCGTCGGAAAGGCAAAATAAACGTAGGTACATATGTCAAAACAAATCGAAAATCCCAAAAGCAAAAGCCTTCAGAAGAATAGAATCAGCTTAATACACATACAGTGTGTGTGTGTGTGTGTGTGTGTGTGTGTATATATATATATATATATATATATATATATATATATATATATATATATATATATATATATATATATATATATTTTTTATAAAATGGACAAAGTCCGACAATTATTTTAAAACATTTTTATAAATACAAATATTTAATTAAATGCTCGGTTTGTAAGAAACAGTATTTACCGGCCTGAATGTCTGAGAAATTGTCAGAGAAAATACGCGTCCTCCGACAGGAATCGAACCTGTATCCTATACGGAACCGTCATAAAGCCTGACGTGCTTTTACCGATTGGGCCACAGAGCAGCGTTTCGGGTAGAAAAAAAAAAAAGAAAAAAAACTGTAAAATTGACCTTGCTACCTCTAGTCTTCCTGACTCTAAGAATATGTCCTTGGTCATTTTAGCAGTTTTATTGGTTGCTGGTAATGGGATGTCTGTGTTAAGTGTATGTTATCTTTTAGTTCTTTGAGAGTTTGTCTGATGTGTGTATGTGTATATATTTGTGTGAGTGTGTGTATAAGTGTGAGAACCAGTAATCTCCTTGTAATTAAAAAAAAATATAAAAATGAAACATTGATATTCATAATTCAATTATAATTTTTTTTAATTTTTTAAAAATATTTTTATTATATATATATATATATATATATATATATAAATATAGATAACTAGACTCGTTTCGAAAAACCCTCGAATTTTTGATTTGCTAATAATCAAATCAATCTCGAGGGAAAAAGGTTTAAAAAAAAGAAAGAGCTACAAACATGGACTTCTGCCGACAAAAAAAAAAATCTCACAGATGCAGGTCTGAAGCCCAAAGAAAAAACCCCGATACGAGTAAACAACTAACTAACAAAAGAGCTCAATACAACCGTAGAGCAAACTTTCCCTGACGATCCGTTTAGGTGAAACCTAGCTAGGTTTGTCTGGATCACTAGGTGTATCTATATATATATATATATATATATATATATATATATAAATAAATCTCGGTTATTTTAATTGCCAACTATAATTTTTTAAATTAAAAAAAAATGAAATTCCAACTTAACTTTGTGATAACTAGGCTTATTAAAATTCAAATTACTTAACGGTTATTTCATATTCAGCACTTGGATATCGCTCATTATCATGCCATTATATTCAGTGTGAGCGAACATCATGCAACCTGATACAAAATGGCCGATTGTTTCTGGATATTTATGACAAAATCTGCATTTGGGGTCAACCCAGTTTTTCAGTGTGTCCTTGGTAATTTCTAGTTAGCAAGCAGAAATTACCAAGCGCATATACGGAAAAATTGGTAGTAGTAGTAGTAGTCTCAACCAGTGAAAATTTCATTGTTTTCTTTTTTAAATTTCTTATAATCTTAATTTTTCAGTTAATAAACTCAATCCGAGTTCTCCGACAATAAAATATCTGAAGAAATTCCGTTATTGCATCGTTAAATATTTAACAACAAAATATTCCAATAACAGTCGTAAATATGAATACTGGTCATTATTTTAAGAAGTGGGTACAAATGAAAAGATTTGAAACAGACTTTAAATCCTTCTAACTTCCCTTCTTTCATTTTCTCATTAAAACTAAATAGAGTTTTTGATATGCCATTTTTCTTCTCACGCTATCAAAAGCTGATATTCCATGATTTATTAGCTGTTAGCAGGAGACGATAAACACTTCTATCTTTCTTTCTTTTCACTGAAACTAAGTAGCATCTCTGATATATCTTTTGTCTTTCCATGCGACCGAAACAGTATAGTCCGTTATTTATAAGACATTGGCAGGGTGTAATGGTCGTGCGAACTAAAGAAGGAAAGGACAATACATTATTATTATTATTGAGTGAGAAAGTAGCAGACAGACAAGATGACGGATATCCTTATCATGTCAGATACGGGGACTCGGATGCATGCATCACAGCGAAATGCCCCCGACATGGCGAAACGTCTTTTTGATGAAAGTAGCACATAATATTGTAAGCAAGGCCCAGTTAGAAATACCCTCGGGTTGGGTAACCCCGTGCGCTCAAATGATCTCCTATTGGTCCACTCTGTCATGCCGTGGGTGTTAACACTGTGCAGCCTGATACAAAATGCTCTGGATATTTATGACAAAATATGCCTTTGGGGTCAGTACAGTTTTCGAATATGTGTGCTTTGGTAATTTCTACTTAGAATGCGTTAGTCCTGTGCAGCAAAAATAAAAGAACCAATGATTGGTAACTAGATATTACCAAACACACATTATTATTATTATTATTATTATTATTATTATTATTATTTTATTTCCTTTGATTTCTGATGTGTACACATTTCGATCCGGGTCCCACCCAGAGACCTAAAGTTAGAAATGGTATCATGACATTTTCCACTGACAAAAAAAAATACATAGATAACGCCCTTCGTAAGGTGTGGGCAGTACTTTTGAGAATAATTTTTTGTCTTACTTTAAGGCATGGGCTTCCAGGAATCCCTTCAATGACTCTACAGGAATCTTTTCCATCCATTTCGAGAGCCCCAACTACAACAGGGATTGTTGATGTTCCCATGTGCCACATTTTTGAGATTTCGATTTCAAGGTCCTTGTATTTTGATAGCTTTTTGAAGATCTTCAAAGATACACTGCAGTCCGCAGGGACTGCCATTTAAATAAGAAGGCACTTTTTTGTTTGCGCTCTCTAATAACAAGCCTGGGTGGTTAGCTTTGATTGTTCTGTCAGTGTGTATTGTGTAGTCCCATAGAATAGTAACAGGTCCTATCTCCGTAACCGGGTCTGGGTGGTGTTCATACCAATTTCTTTCAGTTTCCTTCCCGTAGAAGTTGCTTAATTCCAGTAGAAGTTCCTTATTATTATTATTATTATTATTATTGTTGTTGTTGTTGTTGTTGTTGTTGTTGTTGTTTCTTTTGATTTCTGGTGTATACTCATTTCTTTCCGGGGCCCAACCTAAGGTCAGAAATGGCAACATGAGATATTCCACTAAACATTTTTTGAAAAATAAACAAAATACAAAGATCACACAAATTTTACATAAGTGTATGATTTTAAGTTGTTATTATTATTATTATTATTATTATTATCATTTGTAATTTTTTGTATATTGAGATATATTTAAATATATCTCAATATACACAAAATTACAAATGATAATAATGTTCGCTGGAAGTGAGAGCCTTACCGTGTCTTTTGGATATGTGGCGAAAGGTTTAGAAGTGGAAATTTACCTCTGTAAAGCAGGTCTAAGGTTCCCTGTGACTGTTCTATAAATACTTTCATGGTAATTGTTGTGACGAACTTTCCTATATGGCATCTAGAATTTATGAACTTAAATTCCGTAGTGGATTGACGGCAAGGTCTAATCATTTAACAGTTGAAATGGCGACATGTAACCTTAAGTTTTATGCTAACAGTTTCTTCTCTCCCACTTACTGCTTGTAGTACTCTCTTTCGGCTTCTTCCATCCCAGTCAACGTTGAACTTCAAAAAGTTAAATGCAATGTCAATTATTATGTTCTGTCTTCATAATTCTTGTTCGTTTATGGTCCTTTCTCCATAAAAGTATTTTTCCTCATATTCTCTAACACTCTGTAATGTTCTGCGTCTTAGTTGCATAGAGTGAAATGATTATGAAAAATGTAAACTTAGGTTAGATCGTTAGCAAGTGTATGGATCTTACACTCTTTAAGTACGGCCCTATTAATGCTTTTTACGTACGGAAAACGGGTCCTATTGATGACCATCGCCGTATTGGTGTTACCTTCTTATGCAGCTGACGTGGCTCCATGTGATTTTTCTTCCTTTTCCCCAGTCTCCAGGAGTTCATCAAGAGTACTCGTTTTCCGTACGTGGAAGCCATCAAGAGGGCCATAAGCCGTGACGACGGATCTGTGGAGAACACCGGGATACTCTTTTCAGTAGCGCATAGGGACTTGACGGAGGCGCATGGGAGTGTGATGGAGGAGGATAAGTCCCAAGAACGAACGTTGGGAGGAGGAAAACTTGTAATCTGTAGTTTGGATTTGACATCAATTTTTTCGACTTCAGAAACACCGTATTTTTTTAAAAATTGCCTAATTTACAGTAAAAGTGAGCTCAATATCGGATGTCGATTTTTTCAAAGCCAGGTTACAAGTCAGCAGGTCAAATTATGTTGCTAGGTTTTTGGTTTTCGAATTTGAGTGGGGAAAGACAAAAATCGGAGGGACCCCCAAAAACGAGGCAAGAAGAAAAAATCAAATCTTTTAATCAGAAAAAAGGATTTAAATTTTACCGGTTAATTCGATTCAAAATAAGAATCAAAGACTGAAATTACTGGCAGAAATATACAGGAGGCGTGAAAGGTAGCAAGAAGGGAAGAAGTGTGAAACATTAATTTAATTCCTCGGAGTATTTGAACGATAAATGTAGACATCAAAGGCAGATAAAAAAAAAAAGAATATATGCCAAATTCAAGGCAGTTGCACTACCTTCGGATAAGTGAGAAAAAGAAAGAGTTATATTCCTCTGTAATAGACGTTGTGAGACGGAATTGAAAATAAAGAGGGAAAAGTAATATATGTAAGATAGATAGATAGATAGATAGATAGATAGATAGATAGATAGATAAGAACAGGCTAAGATAGATAGATAGATAGATAGATAGATAGATAGATAGATACAT